TCATCCAAGTGCTCTTGAATAAATTTCATATATATATTTAATAAAATCGAAGGCTAAATTAAAATATTAGTAAAGTTATAGACGTATTTAAAAGCACTATTGTTGACTCATAAGTGACAACATTTCCCACAGTAGTAATTGAATGTTAATAAATGGCAGGTCAACCTCAAATAATGGTTTTCTTATTTTTCATCACCAAGTCCAAAATCAAATAACCAAGCTCAAAGGATCTTCAATCAATATCAGAAACATCATCCAATTCTAAAGCAAAGTGAAAAACTGTAAGTTTTATGTTTTATAAGTTTTTTAAGTTTGTGTGTAAATGAGTAAAAAAAATGATGATTTAGGTATTAAATGAGTAGAAAATGCAAGAATGTTAGTTTACACATGTTGTAAAACACGCCTGTTTGTTGAAAATCATGATAAAACTGTTTATTTTGATATTTGCATTTCTGCATTGCCGCCATTGACGAATAGAAGAGTTGCAGAAAATTTGGGAGATGCATCTCCAAAAATTTTCAACGTTAAAGTTTCTCAGTAACAACTGGAGATGCATCTCCGTAAATTAGCTGTCTGTTTTGTATTTTTCTTTTCTTGTTTGTAGTGTTGCTAACTAATTGTCTGGTTTACTTTACCTTATCGATATTATGGTTGATAGACACAATAGGCTGGGGAAAGGAAGGATTAAACAGCATGCATCAGTGTGGCGGGAGAAGAGTCGGGTTTCAGAGGCTCTTGTCCGCTCTGGTCGTGTAGAGACATTTACTTCTGGAGTTCGTGCATCTCCCCATGCTTCTATATCTTCTTCTTCCTGTAGGCGACGGGTTTCACTTATCGACGCATCACTCCCTCCATCATCCCACAGGTGCCAGGTTTCACCATACTAGAGATGGTTGGCTTGCGGATCATGACTCAATGTTAAGGGTGTTCGCGGTGCGGTTTGGGCAAGCTTGACACTAAAAATCATCTGAACCGCAAGAGAAAAAAGCATGTGGTTTAGTTTGGTTCGGTAAACTTTTAGAAATAAAACTAAACCAAACCAATGCAGTTTTGGTTTGTTCAGTTGGTTTGATTTTTTACAAGATTTTTATTGAGTCATACATACACCTATAGAGAACAACATAACTTTGTATTTATTCATTCATACATTACCAAATAACAATAAAATTCATCATATTTATACAAAAAATTCTCATTCAATATACAAAAATAAGATTAGAGAAAAGTGGAATAAAAAACATAAAATAGTAGTATAAAACAATATCAAAAATATTATAATAAAAAACAAAAAACAGAGGAGGTGAGAGATTAGAGAAGATGAAATAAAAGATCATAAGAGATATGAGATTAGAGAAGAAATGTGCAATAAAAATATAATTGAAAGATAAAACAATATCATAAAAATGAGAAGATTAAAAGGTAAAGAACATAAGAGAGAAGAGATTAAAGTAAAAAAAGTGAAATGTGTGTGGCAAAAAAGATGAGAAGAATGTGTGATACTACTAAAAAAAATTTGAAAAGGTTGAAACTAAATCCCTAAGTGTGAGTAAGAGAATATTATAAAGTTAATGCATAATAGGTTTGAGTTTTGGGTTGGATGTGGGATAAGTGAAGTTTGGTTTGTAACATAATGCGGTTTGGTTTGCTTTAGTTCGATTTTCAAAATACAAACCGCAAACCAAACCAAACCGCGAGATTTTAAAAAATGGCTCAAACACATCTGAATCAAATGCATTTTTTTGTGGTTTCAATTTAATTTGAATTGGTTTACGGTTTTCTATTGGGTTGGTTCAGTCTTGAACACCCCTACTCATTGCTACTCATCTACCCGAGTGCGTGATGCGGCAGATCGGCTACACTCAGACCATTCTCAGACACCTTGTTGTCTCTGATCCTTCTACTTTGACACATGGACAGTGTCATGTTTGATGATTATGAGATTCATCTGATACCAGAGGAAGCACGGAGTATCATAGCTGAAAGCGACTAGAGTCACTTCAACAGGTACATCAGGTGGTTCGTTAGGGTATCACATCCGTATATAGTGCATGCTGCTCTAGGAGATCCACCGAGGCCAACTCATCAGAAGATGCTAGAAGAGGAGCAGACACAGTTAGATCATATTAAGAATGTTTTGCCTATATGTTGTCGCATAGTGGAGATTGCGCATGCAGGCATTGACAGTTATATCTTCCCTGATGGATCTAATGTGAGGTAGGTCCTAGATGCCATCATGACGGAGGAATTGAGGGCATTGATATACTGGAGACAGCGCCGAAAGACGGGGTTGTGGAGCCCGAAGAGTCAGAGGAGATATAGCCCAACATACACAATAGTGCAGTAGTATATAGTAGTTGTACTTTAGATTCATTATGGATTGCATTTTATTTCAGTTCATGCTACTTTATCGTGTATTTAGACTTTATTTATATATGTCATTTTTGGACCATCTGGATTTATATACGTCATTTTTTACATATCGATTGTATGATTTAAATCTCATCACATAACATGATACATAACGTTTATAAATCCTCCTCTGAGTAAACATAAACAAAACATAGCATGCATTGTTCTGGTATGTTACGGAGATGCATCTCCGAAAAATAACTGACGTGTGTAAAATGTCTTTCAGAGTTAATGCATGGTATATGACTTTTAAAATATTACGAAAATGTATCTTCGAATCATTTAACGTTTCAAGATGCGTCCAAAAATGCATCTCTAAAATCTAGAACAATTAAGCATTTTCACGTTGTGTACTAGAAGATATAGGATGCATTAAGAAATTCCCATGTTTCAAAGCTATTTGATTGAATAAGGTTAACGGATGGTATCACGTACTGTAAAAATGCATGATCATATATTATCTTCTCATCTCTATTCAATCGCAAAAACACATGATCATATATATCATTTTCTCATCTCTATTCAGTTGCAAAAATGAGATCAAGGAAGGGAGTCACCCCCTACTCCACATCCCCACCTCAAAATCCATATCTAAAAGATTTGAAAGCACCCTCAAATTGCACATCAAATTTAACCGAGCATTCTTCTATGGGATTCTAAATCCTACTCCAGCTTTATCAATTAGATTGACGCTACTAAATCTTATTCCCAACAAGTCTCCCCATTTAAAGACAACATTCTAGGTCCCTCTTTTCCCGTAAATCAATGCTTCAATCAAGATCTCAAAGCTTATATGCGCCTCCTGCCCCCTTCCTATTATCATTGGTGAACGCAAGCAACAAGTTAAATATGAAGGTGAGTTTGAGAGCAAAGAATGATTATGGGTGTATTATTATGATGTTGAACTGTGCTAGAGAACAAAGTAGGAAGACTCTAGTAGTCTGGCCACCAACCTCTGTTAGTGAGATGGAGAAGAAAGATAATGTGAAAAGTTCATATGAATAGAGCGAGGTGAAGAGAGATAAGAACGTGATTGAGAAAATGAGACCAAGGTAAAAGACATGGAAAAAATAATACAATATGTATAGGGGTGAAGGGGTGGTGGCAACATATAAGGTCTTTTTTTTATTAGAGAGTTTTGTTGAAAAACGGGATAGAGGGGGAAGTGGTGGCAAACCTGATAGAGAATAGGATAAGAGGATAGGAGGCGGTGTGACCAACACATGGGGTGTGGTTTTATAGGAGGAATGGTTCTCTAGAAAGAATTCTAAGTAGGATAATGGTAACTTATGCCCTTGGAACCCAAACCCACTTATAATAAATTTGTATTGAAAAAACAATTTAAAAATTAATTTTATATTTTAATTAAAGTTTGTACACAATTTCTAAGATAAAATAATATTTCTTAATTTAGTTCTTAACTTGTGCCCAAAAACACAAAAAAGGAAAAGGGCAGTGTAAAATAAAAAGGGTGTATAGGAAATACCACAATACTGTAAGACATATATAAATCCAACGATGAATAAATATGGTGCATAAATATCACCTAAAATTGTGGTACACTTTAGATATCGCATTCACATCTAGAGAACACACTCCATTCCAAATCATTAGTAGTTCAAGGTAAATGCACAAAGATATCGAGAACATTCCATTGATGTGCATAAGCACCAAAGTACCCTTACCCTTAACATGTGCCAGTTTCCAATCCAATATCAATCAATAACCCATCATAAATGCTCTGATAAAATACAAATGGAGTGTTTATTATTGGGTTGATATCCTCTTCATTTCTTTGTCCCTTCATTTTCTCCATTACTATAGTTTTGTTGTATATAAAATTAATTAAATATTAATTATATGTCACATGTCTTAAAAATGTGTGTTACACAGAAACTATAGTAATGGAAAAAATGGAGGGACAAAGAAATGAAAAGGATATCAACCCTTTATTATTAGGGGTATTATTTGCAAGAAAAATGCCAAATGTTTCTTTGCATGTCTAAAATATCCAATGTTTTGAAACAAATTTAAAATGCTAAAAAGGCCGATGTTTTGGAATGGAGGAAGAAATAATGAAGCATACAAGCAAGCACGTAGTGCGCGGCATATCATTTCATATTCTATATCATTATGGACGTTTGGGTGGACAGACAACAGTATAGCACTTGAATTATAAAATCAGACTAAAATATGTGAACCAAACAATGTCCAATCCACAAATTCAAATTCAAAAGCTACTGTTAATGCAGGAGGGGATGAAATGGAATAAAACAATATAAAATAGCTAGGCAACTGTTATCTGATATAATCATAAATAAGATTAAGTGCGACTGAGAGCAAGAATACAATTTGCTATAACCAATTAAGAGTGCCCTGAAGTACCTAACCACTTGCTCATTGAACCTGAAGCTTGGTGAAGTTCGAAGCCAAAATTGAAACATAGAATTTGCACAACATGTCTTCAATGTTCTTTACAACACGTTCCTAAAACATAAAACGGAGGTTATATATAGATTTACTGATTTCAAAATCTAATGATGTAGCAAAGTTAACAAGATGTGGGCAAATTCTTACTTAAACCTTCAGCTTCATGGCTTGTGAAGTTTGAATCCAAAAACTCTCGGAACATAATTCTGTGATGGTTTCTGTGGCTTCAGTTGTCCGTAAGTCATCAGGAACAGGTGGGGAAATGTAGTACCAAAATAAGCTCCATCAATGTCTATAACAGAATCAAGGAATTTCAGATGTACAGGATGTGATGTGCCACCATAAATTTAAGCCACGATAATATATTACAAAATAATAAATACATGCAACCAATCGTCCCATATTAATTTAACAATATGCATTAAAAAAAGTGGGGGAGTCATGGCTCCCCCTGTTCCTTAAAAGATCTTTCACTCCACCTACAAACTACTTAATTGACCGGTCACAGATAAGAGATAAAAAAAATGAATATAAAAGTAAACAATGGAAGAGGTGTTATGCATAAGGAAACCAAAAGTAAATTTCTGAGACATGTCAATGCATAACGAACTAAAACACACATATCATCATTATATAATGTTAAATAAGGATACTGCCTTGATACTTGGACCGAGGATAGTAAATGTCTTCACATCTCGGGCAATATATCTTCACAGTGCTAGACCTAGGAATGTCGGACTGACCAACTGGAAGGCAAGGTTGTCCGGAGCAGTAAACTCTTGGACATCTGCCAAAGTCATAGTTCTTGTACTTGTCCAGCTACAAAAAATGACAGTATCATTAATAGTACCAACCTTGTTGACAATAAAGCAATAACACTGCAGTAGTTAGAGACACACAAAAAATCCTACCATGGCAGCCATTCCTTTGCTAGTCAATATATACCGGGCATGAATCATACCATAAAGCATCTCTGCTGCTGATTCAATTAACTCATTTTGTTCCTCGGTAAACATGTCACCTACATATTTCAATCAATCCAATTTACACAACAAAATACAGAATAAAACACTAACAGGTAATCTGCAGAGTACAATTAGAATCCCAACAAGAAATCCTATCACCGCTAATATTTGAGACTTCAAAAAAATTAACCAAGGCTCACCATGGGAGGATTCAACATCCAAAATTAAATCAAGAGCATAATCATAATAAGGCACTTGACTGCTCAAACCACAAAGATTGAAATCGTCTTGAATGTAATCGTCGTCAACCTCACAAAAGAATTCATTTCCTCTCAAATTGCAAAACCATGAAATCCAAGACGTGTCATCCCCGTCGGAACCACTAACATCAGACTCTTCACTATCGGTTTCAGATTCCTCTGCAGCCAATGCATCTAATAAGAGGTTAGCTCATTAATACAATCACAACTTAAGAAAAACTAAACATCCACACTTAACTCCAAAATGTTGCAAATCTAAATCACAAAAAAAAAGAAATAGTGGTTTATTCAAATTCTACTACGCAATCACAATGGTCACTACTAGACGACATTTTGTACTAAACAGTGAAATGCTAAACAATAGCAATTTGTTCAAATTCCGCAACACTATAATGCTATATCATCGCTAATTCGCTATAACATATAATCTCTATTTAAAAACAAAGCATCACCACTAAAGTTTGTCCAAATCTATTAGTTCAAAACTTTAAGTGTGTGTTTGGTTATGCAGTGACAACAATAACTAATTCTAAGTAAATTGATTTTGTAGAATTGATTAGGGTTAAAAGTAAGTTGGATGTAAAGTGATTTATGATTGAATACATTTATGTAAAAGTCAGTTGAAAAACAAATATCTGTGTAAAAATCACATTTAAACTCAAATGCTACAAATTCTAACTTCAAGTAGAATCAAGTTTGAAGGCAGAATCAATTCTACTCTAAAAGAACCACAAACACCTCAAAATCATTCCAAAATCAATTCTAAATGTTAAACCAAACAAACACTAAATTTCACCTTAATTAAAAAACAGGAATATGAATTTGAATCCTATAATAGTGAAAACTGAAGCTACTAGTAGTTAGCATAAATAAATTTCAAAAAAAAAAACACCTAAAGCAGAGTAATATTATTATTATCATTATCATCCAAGTATACAGAATTAAAAGCAAAAAAATAAATAAAATAAAACGGTTAAGCATAATGATAATTGAATGAAAATAATTCGCATTGAAAAAACGAGATCAGATCGAAAACTCACCATCGGAAGCGTTAGGATTTTTCGGAATAGTGGCGGAACCGGAGCGAGGGTCCCTATGATCCTTAGCGGTTAAGAGAGACGAAGAAGAGGACCTATCTTTACCGTTGATGGTTCTGGAAGTGGACGGCGAGGATCGTTCGAGTTGTTTATCGAGGACGTCGTTGATTCGTTTCCGATCAACGGAAGCAACCTCGGCTTTGGATCCAACGCCTCCTCGCTCTCTGTGCATAATAACAATTTCGTATTCGATTCGATTCTTATGCTTTCTGTGTTAATCAATTATCATAATAACGATGATGAAGATGGTTGAAGAAGCTAGGGTTTTGAGTTTTTTTTTTAATGGAAATTGCAATTTCGATTTACAGACACACAAAAGACGAACAATGATTCCACCTCCTTTCTATTCTATTCCTGACGAATTTTATTATTTTTTATTATTTTTCTACATTTAGTGCTTTTGTTTCGGGTAAGATATTTTTATTTTTAGGTTTTTCGGTTTTATCGCTTTCATTTTTTTCTAGAGCTTTTTTATTTTTTTTTCTTAGTCTCTAATTATTCGAATATTAGGCCGTCAAAAATAAAGTATCTGGAAATTTAGTTGATATAATTTTTTATGAATGCTAATTCGTACATCTTAGGATGCTCGTTATTGACTTTAATAATTAAGAGAAGTCTAAGGAGATTGAATTTTAAGAGATGAAATTTAAATGCGACAAAATCCAATAAAATTGCATTAGAAAGAATTCACACTACATTATACTTAATAAAAAAAATCATACTCTATTAAATAAATTATATATTTGATTTCAAAATAAATTTTTAATTTAAAAAAGTATTTCCAAAATATAAGTAAAAACATAATAATTTAGATGAATATTTTTTCCGTAGTTTTTTTTTAAATAAATGTCTTGAGAAGATAAGATTATATATAACTAATTTTATTTGGTGGAATGATGTTCATAGGACTATTGAATTAGATTTTATTAGAAATTGATTAGGATCGTCTAACTTTAGAATCAGATAGGTTTGAGATTTTAGCTTTATTTCTCCCTCATTTTCGTACTCACTTCTTTTTTTAGATATTAACTTTTAGGGCTAATGCCCAATTTATCAAAAAGAAAAGTCTTGAAAAGATGTAAAAACAATTCTAATTGATTGTTGGTATAGAAAAATGCATTGTTTTTTCTTATATTTTGGGACGGAAGGAGTATGTGTGATTATAAAAATGTACATGTTATCATTTATGTTTGACTAGGGAAGTTGTTGATTGTCAACTTCTTATAGAATCGTGACCAGGACTTCTTGCACATACGGTTACAGGCAATGTACATGTCATCGTCCATGTTTCTCCTAAAGGGGAGCCACCTACTGCGTTGGGTTAGGATTAGGCAACGTACTTTAAGGCGAGTGCTTATGAGGGCAAGTTCTATGTCGCCCCTTTATAGGTCTTTACAAATATCACTACACAACCTCTCGAGCATGAGGGCATGTAAAGGGCAAATTGTTTTAAGATTCACAATTTCTTTCGATTGAATCCCACAGTTTGGATTCAAGTTCCTAAGTTAAGGGTGAGTCCCTCGATTAATGGTGAGTCCCTCGATTAGGGGTGAGTCTCCCAGTTAAAGGATGAGTCGTCAACCTTTTACCACATGTCTCCCGTGTAGCTTATGTGTTAGTTGGGGATATCAAACATCAATCAAGTGATGGAAGTAAATGGTTACATTAAATGTAAGCAATAATGATTTACTCTTTAGACGCTAAATAAACCTGATCTTTGACGTGTCAGAGGCATTATGAGCTTTTTTTCAAGGAGATGCCTAAAAAGGCTCTTGAGAGTAGCTATAACTCACCTACAAAAAGGACTTCCTTATTTCTTAGTTCCATTTTACTTATTTTGTTTATGTATTATTCTTCAAGCTTATTCCAGCTTTCTTCTACTCAAATTCCCTTCAAGTATTGATTCTTTCCATATTTTTCCATCGTAACAAAAATGGTTAGGGCACTACAACAAATAACGTTTTTTATGAAGAAGCTTTCACCTCGAACAATAGAAAACCGAGGTATAAAGCCAGGGCGCTATTTTTTATTATTTAAGAAAATATTTATAAAAAAAACCATAAACTCCCTCAGTTTTTTATAACATCGAGATGAAAAAATAACTCGGTACAAGTTTTGATTCCCAGCTATCACAGTTCATGATTTTATTTGTTTATAAGTGTAAATAAAATGTTCTAACCCTTCGGTTTTCTATTTAATCGAGACATAAAATAATTAGGTATTACTATAAAAGCACTCGTTAAACATATTTTACCCTAATCCTTACTAATATGAAATCACCCTAAACTTGCAAGCATCATTATTTGGGATGGATTGCAAGATGGAAAAAATATTCAATGTTATTTTATCTTGAACAAAACATTTTTTCTACTCTTACAATCTATCTCATATAATGGTGTTGATTTTGTCGTTGTTGTATTTTTGAAATAACTCTCTGTTAAATAAGGGAGTTCAACCTTTGAAGAGTACTCAGATGATAGATTGAAAATGCAGAAAATCATTTTTGCTTCAAATTACACAAAGAATGGAGTTTAACTAACAGGGAAGGGAGCTTAACATTTGAACAAAGAAGGGGATGCAACTAAATCTGGATATCAGCGAAGATATTCAATAATTAGAGCAAATATTTGTTGTAAATAATTTATTTTAATATTATGTGTAAACAATGTAATTTAAAAAAAATATATTCACCTCGATTTTCGTCATTATCGAGGTGATAGTTAAAAGGAGAAGATAAAAAATCTTGGTTTTATAGTACAATCGAGGTGTTTAATAATCATATTTTACTATAAAAAAATTCACTAAACAAATTTAACTCTAAGACTGACTTATATGTAGCCGCCGAAAAAAAGGAAATATTCATCACCGACTATTTAATCATGAGTTGCTACTATAGATCTCTGGGATGGATTGCAAGTGCAGAAAATAAAAATTCTTATTGGGAAACAGATCTCTAGCATCTTGCATGGGACCTAGACATGGAAAATAAAAATTCTCATTGGAAAATAGATTTTACAGTGTATTTTTAATATTTTGTGTAAACAATATAATTTTAAAATTAAAAAAAAATAGCTTATTCACCTCGGTTTTCTTCGTGACCGAGGGGATAGTTAAGCGTTTTTTTATATTCAACATCCTTAAACAAATTGTTCCGGACTGGTCCAATGGCTATGCATGGCCCAATCCACTTCTGCTTCCAGAACGGCCCAATTGCCTAAGTCCAACTAAATTGGAGGAGCATTTACCTTTCTTACCCTCCACCAAGGAAGGCTGGCCGATTTACCTCTGGGTCATCACTTCTCCTCGTCAGTCTTTACGTGTCACACATGGTTCCACCATCCAGAAACAGTCATGACGCTTGTGACCATTATTGCGCTTCTGCCCGTAGCAACGGCTAGTCATGACGCTTGAGAGGGTCGGGTATTCAATATTCACCTTGATATACACATATTATGTACTTGCTTTCTTTCTCCTGATTCTTACTTTAGCATTAGAATGCCTTGCATGTGCACCCCTTCTCCTCTCTCACACCCAGCATCACAGACAATTGTCTCTGGCCCATTTTAAATTCTGATCAGCCGTCAAGATCAGTGGCACCCTCTGCGGGAAATTTTTTATTTGCGTCTTTCTTCTATCGTAGATGCGAGACCAAAACAGTTCTTTCAAACTCCGATCGTGGCCAACCATGACAACACCCATGATGCTCGCAACTTTGTCTTCCTCCCCATTAGCAAGACTAATACTGACGGAGTAACCACCTCTCTTGGGGGCGACGCCCACCAACAAAGAGACGGAGCCACTGCTTCTCCCTCCCCCGTTCGCGCTGATCACAATGAGGTCCAGCTCATCTTAGAGCACCTTCCAGTTCCAGTTCTTCCCAGCGCCGAATCGGCCATAGAGGCCCTTCTCGAGGCTCTCAACAAAACCAACCTCTTAATCCTCCATCAGAACGCGAGAATTGGAGTCCTAGAATATTCTAGTCGTCCAAGATCCCCTCCGCCGAGGAAAGATCATCAGAGATCACAGATTCCTCTTCCCCGACGCGAAAGAAACCGTCCGGCACCTCTAGAGCCAGAAACCCAGACAGTCAGAAAGCGCGACCACATCTCTCCTAGGAACTAGCATTCCTCGCCACCCAAGAGGACCAGAAGGGATCAACGAGCAGAAACCTAGCGTTCGCCTTCGCCCAGATCCAAGGGTCGAGCACGAACCCCATATCCCCATTGAGATTACCATCCTACTTATAGACGGAAAACCCATTTTCTGTCATGGTCCAGCAGCAGCAGCGACGACGAGCCTCGCGGTCCATTGTCCTAGGAGATTATGGCCATGCGCCTACCGAAGAGACTGGAGAAACCCCTTTCTCTAGGCACATGCGATGGTACTATGGACCCTGACGAACACATCGAAAATATCAATTTGTTACTCGATTACCACGGCATCTAGAGCACTATAAAATATAGATTCTTCCCAACTAAGCTCTAGAAGGGAGCAATGATCTGGTACAAAAGACTCCCCAAAGATTCCATCACATCATGGAGGAAGTTGAGGAGAATGTTCTCCAAACACTTCACGGCCTCTCGCTGACACCCAAAGACCGAAGCTTCCCTTGAGTTCATTATTCAAGGGAAGGATGAACCTCTTCGAGCTTATATATAAAGGTTTAACAAGGAAGCTATCCATGTCTCCACGATCGACGACATGAAGAAATTTCTACTCGAGCGAGGGCTCCGTCCTTGTACTGAATTTTCCAAAGCTGTGGGTATCCAGCCCCCAACGACGTTGGACGCTTTCCTCCTCAAAGCACAAGCGTACATCCACTATGAAGAGAAGGGGATCGCCAATTCTACCTGGGATTTGTGGCATCGGGAGATTGACCGATCCATCAAGCCTGACGAACCCCCGACATCTCGTCGAGGAGATAGAAGACGCAAAGACCGCCCCAGGATAACAAAGGGCCTTCTAGCCAGTTCTATGAGTATACTCCCCTGACGGTCTCTCGAGAAAAGATCCTCTCCAAATGTGCCAACTCATAATTCCGGCATGCTGGAGTCTTATTCCCTAAGCAAATACCATTCAATCCAAACATTGACAAGTCAAAATACTATCGGCTCCACAAGAGCCACGGCCATATGACCGACGACTGCATCCACCTGAAGGATGCCATAGAGA